TCTCATGGCCAGTGCAGTGAGAAAGTGTTATCCTGACCATCCAATCCCTGGCCGTGGTCAGAAACCTATAAATCCTGGGAGGAAAAATAAACTCTGCTCTTCCTTTCACCACACCTCGACCTGTGTCTGTGTGATCTATTCATCTTCAGCGGCAGCAGGAGGTTTCTGGTCTTTGGCAGTTACACAAATAAGAGAGCCAGGAGAGCTGAAAAAGCACAGCCACTGGTAAGGGAAGGATCTGGGGACGGGCTAAGGAGACTAACCCACTCTGGAGTGGGTTTCTCACAGTCATCAGATCCACAGTAGGAATGCCTGCTTCCTTTTCCTCTCTCACAAGCCAGAGGCCTTCACTGAATGTCCCAGGCGCATTCATTGCCACTCATGAGGGGACAGCACTCCCCATTTGCTTTGTAGGAACTGTGGGCATGAACAATGAGAATCTTTCCCATGTTAACCAAACCCTTTGTGATCAAGGTCACCCACAGGTTTACCTTCCTTCTGCAGCTGTCCCTGGCTGTGGACACTGTGCCCTCTGACCACCTACGTCCCCTCTGCCGAGCCAGATGTGCCATAGGGAGGCAGAAAGGGAAGGCAGAAGTTATCTGTGTCCAATGCCAGCCCATGGTCAGTGCTGATGTGTGATCACCATGCCCTTTAGGCCATCCAGACTATCAGAGTTAATCAGATCTTACCAGTGACCTAATGAATCTCTGAAATCTGTCTACAGGCACAAGATTTGCACATTTAAAGTGTGACACTTTAAGATATCCAGAGCAGGTGAATTTACATCTTCCCTTGTCACCATAAGGTCCCCTAACAGGCACCTCTAGGACAAAATTTATCTTATTCAAATGAGATTAGAGTAAAATAGGTCAAATTAATTGTGTCCTTATTTCTTCCCAGCGAGCACAAATGGAGTCTGATGTAAGTAATTCAGAAATAAATATCTCTGCTATAGATATTTGTGGTTGGAGAAAAAAAGAATCCAAGCCATTGATTTAATCCTTCTGCTCCAAAGTAATCATCTGTAAGATGGGTGTCTATGTAGGCTCCTCTTACAATCAAACAACAAGAAAAGGCACTACTAGAGAAGTACCTAGTGAATGGGCCAGTCTGAGGATTACTCGCATTTCAGAAGTGCCAATTAGGTGTCTAAAATGTGAGAATAAAACTACACTGAAAAGACAAACAGCATATTCTGGTTTAGCACTTAACTCTGAATCCTGATCATCATTTTATTTCAGAGCAAACCAGCGCATTACCCAAAAAAACCAAAAAAACCAAGAAGTCTCCAATTCCTTTCTGGAAAAGGACAGAGAAAATGAATAGAGAAAGAAAAATTCTGATTTCAAATATGTTTTGGGTTTGAGGTTTTTTTGTCCCAGAATGAAAGATCCACATTCCTCTCCTTCTGCAGACAGAAGGGGCTCTGCTCAGTTGTCCACACATATGCCCTGGAGACTTTTGAGGCTTCATGGAACATCAGAGATCTCCATCAGGACTGGCAAATGTGGCACCATACCTAAGGGAAGCCCATGCCCTCATTACCAACAGCAAAGTGATAGACTTGTGCTTAAGGCATCTCATAAAAGAAAAACATATTAATGTTTAAGTAAGGGATTCACGCACAAAAATGTATGATATAACTGCTTTTATTCAGACAACTAAAAGTTTGACCTTATCTAGTATTTCCTCTTCAAATTCCCCTTTGAATCTTCCTGTTTCTGTCCTGACTTCAAAGCAGTTAAAAAAATGTGAGGTACTTACTTCATCAGCCTTCCATATGGTCAAGGCCCAAGAGATGGTGATATAAAGGTCAGCATGGAGTGAAAACTCACCCCAGCTTGAAACAGATTAATCAGTATTGTTTGGATCTCTCTATCAGATCACCTGGTAAAATACAGACATCGCCTTAAATGACAGAGGATAATTTTTTTTTGGAAACTGGTAGTATACCACTCACTGATTTTATCATTGCATCATTCAGTCTTCAGGAGCAAAATGTCTATGCCTTTATATGATTATGGAGTCATTGACCCAAGCCCTCCTAATTTCCTTCTCCAAAAAAGAAATTTTTATTAATCCTACAGCAAAATGATGGCACTTGGCTCATGGAAGACACTGTCATTTCCATTGTGTGGAGTTAAAAAAGTAATTTTATCATTTCAGTTTCTCCTGTATAGGATCTAATCTTCAGACAGTCCTGTATCATAACTGACCTTTAAATTGTAACAAGCAATCAAATATATTAATTCTATTATCCTATACAATCTTTCTTTGACTGTCCTTTGACTTTGAATCAGAATGAGAGTTAGCAAAACTTACAATTCACTTTTTAAAAAACTTTTATGGTTCTTTCCACTCTGCAGGGTAACTGGACAGCAGTCAAGTTAAGTAGCTCACAAACTCATGAGTAATAAGTCATTAAGGCAGAATAGAGTACCTAAAACAATGTTAAAATTCACTTCTCCTGTCAAGTCCTTACTGGTGACCCCAGAACTTTTCTTATCCCTTCATTTACACTTACCTTTTTTTCTCACATTTCCCTGGACATCTTTTCTCAACATACAGGATACTTCCCACCTCATCCACCTCAAAACTTTTCTTTCAAATTTATTTGCCTCATCCAACTGTTATCTCTTTCCCTGCCCCTTGGAAAGAGCCTTACTCCTAAATTTTGATTGTGCTTTGATTTGTGTTCTTCTGGAGGTTTCCATCACTTACATCATTTCCTTGAGCTCTTACTCAGTGACTCCTCATGGAGTAGCTTGGCATTTTTGCTACAGGAGTATCTTTCCTGACTTCTTGTCATCTTTTACATGACTTATTCCTCCAAAAACATTGTTTTCTGGTTGCTCTGGCTGTCTTCACTTGGATCTTCCTTCAGTCTCCAACAACACAGCCCACGTCTCTAACCAGCCTTCTTCTATTGACACACACTAAGATCTCAGCCTGTTTCCCTGACACCTCCTCAAGGACATGCAGCTTTCACCTTACCAGAGTGGTTTAACTCTCCCTTCTTTTATTATTAATTCCTTCAGGTAGTACCCACTTCTGGGCCCCTAGCCTGATCATCAACTTCATCTGTAGCTTCTCTGCATCTCCTGACATTCTGAACTTCACCCTGAGCAGCAATTGCATCAATTTAATGGTTGCAATCTCCATCCATATGGCTAAATCTCTTTTACAGCTCTCATTATCAGCTTGTCTTACTTATTGCAACACATTTTTTCTCCAGCATTGATAAACATTTTTCCCCTTACCTGTTCAGGGTGTTCCCACTTCCCTGTTATATCCCATATCTTTGCGTCTTGTTTCTCTTATCTCATTTATTTTAAGTGATGTGTCTGTCTTCAAAGCCTGTCATGGTCGGGCCCACTTGGCTTGTCACCTGTCATTCAGTTCTTCAAAGACCACTCTTTTATTTGATTGCTCTACTGTTTCTAATATCCTGCTTGCTAAATCCTGAACACATTTGTGATAACTTTCTTCCATTCTCTAACTCTGAAACAGAGAGCCTGTAGAAATTACAGGCCACATAGCTTCTCAGTCTTGCCTGAGAAACTAGCCTGGGAAAAACATGAGAAAGAATTAAAACAATCCTCAGAGACAGAAAACAGCCTTGCAGGTGCTGTTTGTCTGTCCCTTGTTTTCTTTGCAAGAGAAAATCAGAGGGTGTTGTGCACCACTGACCAATGATGGTGATGCAGTAATTTACTAACCAATAAGAGTTTCCTTTCTGTACTTTCCACGAACCAGTCTATAAAACAAACCTAAAGTAATAAACTAGAGACATTCTCCTGATTGATTCCATGAGAGTCTGTGTTGCTCATTCCCAGCTGTTCCTAATAGAGCGACATGCCATAGACATCTTCTTTATCTTGCTGTCATTCAGAATAATTCCCATTTTCCTTTACCTAATATCTATAGAAAGCTTTAGAAAAGCTTCTCTTTTTTGGCAATCTGAAATTCCCTCCCATCTTGCCAATTAGAATGTGTTTCCTTGAAGAAGTCTCTTCTCTCTGATGTTGATAATCTTTGTCTTAAATTTAAATAGTGAACTTCTCTGGGGTAAGGGAACTCTTTTTATTCTGTGACAAGCTCATATATCACAGTCATAAATATACAATAACAATGTACAACATAAAATAATCGTAACAATGATAATGACAAGAAATCTGTTTCAAATTAAAACTCAACAGTAGAAGTTTTAGTGGCTTTAAAAATATTATTCACCTCTTGCTTTGGCATACATTTTACAGCTTTATCACTAGCCACAGCACAATGTTTATGGAGCTATAAACATATTTGTATAAGCAAATAGATAAATGACAATAAAGCATCACTTAAAAAGAGAGTTTATTCTTATTTTGCCACATGACTGGGACAAGTGAATGTGAAGGCATACTCTAAAATTACCTTGCAAATTGTCCTATTGCTGACTGGGTGACACTGGCTTCTCACTGCCTGAGCCATCTGTTCTGCTCTCAGCAAACTCTGGTCCTCCATCCCCTCATCCTCTTCTGCTGTATTTCCATGGAAAATAAGATGTGTCTGTGGTGACTGACGGGTGTTCCCTCCGACCTTCAATCCATTTGTTGTCAGCCAGGTTTCCTTTTCTGAGTTCTTTATGTGAAAATTGCCTTTTAACCGTGCTGCTTTGTGCCATTTCTCCCTTGTCCAAAATGACATATGACAAGACATTCTCAGCTCTTCCAGCCTGCCAGCTCTGATAGCATGCTGCCCTGCCTGCCTTTTTCTGCATCTGACTGATAAGAAATTTCCATCAGCAGAAGAGGAAAATAAGGAGTGCAATGGCCACTGACATATAATTTTCCTGTGCAGTCGAATTGTGTAAACTGCATGTATAGAAAAAGAATGGCAAATAGCCAAGTACTCTGTGTCTCAAGAGAGGACAGGGTGTCCTGGGCACAGCTTGCCTTATTCCAGCTCCTTCCCATCCCTGCCAAGATCGCAGGTCTGCCCTGGGATGCACCAGAGTTCAGTAGTCACTGCAAAACCACCTCATCAATGTTACATTTGGAGTGCCTTAAAAGTTTGTTTGGGATATTTTGTCCTCTTCCCTGGAGTTCCGAAGTCAGAAGGGTAGAAAATTGACAGATTTTTTTTGCCCCAGGTTTCCTGTTCAAGAAAAATCCAGCTGCTGTTTGGCTCAGATGTTTTACCAAAGAGCACAGAGAAGAAGAGGCCAGCTCACTCTGAGATAACCTACCCAGGCACTCGTGCAATCTGCTGCTGTTGGGACACAGGGACACATGCAGCTCCCATTTCCACTTGAACGCTGCAATTACTGGGGGCATGAAGCTGTAAGTATGGAGAAAAAAATAACTCATTATACTTACAAATTATATTCACAGGTACTTAGTTGGATGATTTAGCTCTTAGTTCATAAATTCTTCAAGCTGTGGTATCATCCTCCATAATTGAAATACACTTAGTAATAGACATGTAATTGAATAGATATCAAAAAAGTAGTGGGGATAGCACAGGAAATTAATCTATTTAACAAGGAACATATTCTGGTAGTCATCTTGTAGTATTCCAGACAGAATCAAGAAGAAAAACATTTTAAAAGCTCCCTGAAAGGGATATTACAGTATGAGGTATCCTTCTGGTGGTCTTCATTTTGTTTATTTTTTATGTTTAGAATTCCAAAATCATAGGAGGCCATCTGTTTGTCAGCCCATGGCTGATTTTGTTCCTAGTGTATGTGTACAAACACATAAGAATCATCTCACTGCAATGCATCCTGGAGGTGTGTAGCGCTGAAAGTGATTTGCAAGAAAGATCTTTTTTATTTTTATTTTTATTTTTTAGTTTGAAAATGGCAGTTTTTCAAAACCATACTTTTTTTTAATGACAAAGTATTGCTTTCAGTATTTTATTCCAAGTCAAAAAAATTGACATTTGTTTAATATCTTGTTCCAGTATCTTCAAAAAGAAGTGCTCTGCTTTTTCATTTAAAAAACATTTTCCTTCTGAGATGTAATTACAGTGAAAAGTAAGATTTTTTAAATTAAAAAGATCAGCATTTAAAAGCGAGCATTTCAACTACTCTAAAGCTATTTTTGTAGGGGATGGAGGTTGTTTGTTTAATTTTGTTGTCTTTGAGGTTCTTGGGCTTTGTCCCAGTTTGGTAGAGGAATCTGAAATATTTTAAAGCCAAGAAAATGAGAAAATAGCTTCTTGTCCTATATAACAAGAAAATAGCTTCTTGCAGAATTCAAACATGGTGACAAGTGAGTGTTGAGTGATGAACTGCCTCACTTGGTGATCTCCTGGCCTCTCTGTTATTATGCTGGTGGGGTTTACACCAGGCCAGTTCCATGTGAAACCCAGTTACGGTACTGGCCTATTTTCGTTATACACTGCATCACAGAGGTTTGAATAATTACCTTGATTATACTTTTTTCTTCTTAAAACCCACATGTGATGTGGAATTAAGTTTCAACGAAGTGCCATCTCAGGCTTACAGGTCCATTAGTTATATTTTGACTGAGGAGCCAATGTAAGGATTCAGTATAGAGATGCACAGAACTGGTATGTTCTGTTGGTACATAAACAAAAACTGTTGGGTTTTTTTTGTCAAGCCACTTCTGGAGATTTCCAATCCCAGCACTTCATTTCCTGAAAATCTTCAGTGGAAAACCTGTTCATAAATTAATGGAGATTAGATATAAGGCCTGTGAACAAATTGTCTCAAACTAGGCCATCACATTTACTAACAGCACTAAGAAAGTATAATGAATAATCAAGAATGTGTTTAACATGGTGGAGGATTTTTCAGCTCATCTACAAACTCACACTAAGTAGCATGCCTAGAATTTAAAAGTTTGATGCATTTTAAATGTTAATCTGTGTGGAATTCCTTTACAGAAGCATATAATTATTAGTGCCATTTTGAGCTTAGGGACTTTTTCTATTTAGATAAGTATTACTGATGTTGAGAAACAGCTTTTATATCTAATTTGTCTTTTCACAATACTGTGTAAGTGGGTAATTCTTCTGTTGAGGAACATATTGTCTTTAGCCATATTATACTACTTAACTGCAATTATTATTCAATTCAACCTCGTCAGTCATTTATTTTTCAGTCAGTTTACTGGTACAAGAAAGATTTTCTCAGTCACTTTGACATTTTCACTGTTACTAAAATTCAGAATTGTAAGAAGTGATTCTTCTTGAACTACCTGCTGTATTTCCAGTTGTTGATCATAATTTTTTTTTCAACAATTGTCTTGATATTTCATCAATTGCTTTCATACTTTGTATCTTCTGCTTGGGACACTGGATAATAAGAACTGTGAGTAACTGCATTACTCATCGCATAACATCAATTCCTTTTGTCTCTTGTGAATAAACTGCTTGCATAGATCAGGTCTTTTGGTTGACAAAGTCCAGATTTAGAAAGTGTTCAAATGTGGTCTTGGACATACAGTTCAGAAGGTTGTGAAATTTGTATTAATCACACATAGGCCTTCAGGTCTGTTTTCCACATTATTTTTCTCCAGATCCAAAATAAACTCACATAATGGGCTGTGGTGGTTTTTTAACCTTCAGCATTGGCCTGTCTCACATCCTTTGGAATGATACCAGATGATCAACCTCCTTTCCTTTGGGGAAGAGGGTCCATACCGCTGTGAAGAATTTGAGCCTGGGGAAAAGAGGTGAACATTTCTTTTTCTCCTAGTATTTTAAAGAGCAAAGTTGTGGACTTTTAGCAATAATAGCATAATTTCTTTCATATTAAACCATGTGGAACTAAAATTCTTTTAGAAGGTGTTTACCTTTTTAACACCGCTGTTTGAACTTTACTGCTGTTTCAGTTTCAGCTGATGAGCATATCAAACTCTTTTCCATGCAGATTCCCTATTCACCTGGATGCCTTTCTGACAGTTAGGTAAGGCACAATGCTTGCTGCAAGATTTCACCAATCCAAACTACAAAAACAATATCATAAAATGGTGATGAGTATAATGGCAAACACACTTAAAAAATACCAGACTTTTGACAGTTTGTACAATGTTGCATGTCTGTATTTTGATGCAGACTTGCACTCTCTGGTGAGAAGATGCAGTTTTCATGTGTCAAAGACTTCCTCCAGTTTTCAAATACAATAGAGCAAAGCCCTTGGTTGCTGATGTTCTCTCAAATAGCCTCCAACTCATCTGCATTGCTGTTCCCTCTGCCACTTTAAGCCCTCCACCAAGCACAGAGGTCTGGGAGATATATATTGTGAAGAGAGAGACAAAGAAGGTGTTGAACACATCAGCCTTGGCTGGAACTCAGGCCGAGATGGCAATGAACTTGCACAGGGATTGCACAAAGAATAGCTTCGGTACCAAGGCAATAGAGATGAATGTCATCTTGGACATGTTGTGTGGCAGTGCCAGGACTTCTTAGTTAAAAAGCGCTGTAGAACTTGAGATGAGCAATACGAGAGATTACTTTTCCTTAACTGGTCCCTTTGAAAAAGCCAAATGACATTATAGAGAGCTTAAACAAATGTGTTCAAACTAAGACACTTTCTTCTTGTGAGAGCTGCTGGCCTAAAACATTCAAGTTTGGCAAAGAACTGAAAATAACAGGAGTTATCTGTGACATGAAGACTTTATTTGCATCTTAATACAGAAGTGACTGTCAGTTTGATGGTGTTTGATAATAATTATGTCCTTTTATTTTTAGCTGCTACTTTTAAAACATCTCTCTCAAAAAGCCAGTAGAGAAAATTACTTATACCTGCAGGCTCAAAAATATCTCCATTACAGTCTATTGGAAGCCCTTTACCCAGCCCCCCACCCAACTTCAACTATTTGCAATTAATCTTTTCATTGCCAGGATAATGCCTTGTTTATCAGAAAAAGCTACTCAGTGAAAAAATAATTTTTCTACTTGTACTTCTACTGCACACTGAGCAATGCCAGGAATAAATGCTCAAATGCCATGATTTATCATATAGAAATGCTGTCCTTTTTGTAGTGGATAAATTTAATGGACAGACCACATATTTGGGTAATTCAATCTGCTGGGATATTTTCATGTCAGCCTTACATTTCTTTACAGATTTTAGTGCTTTTAACATTCTGCTCTTTTTGTTTTCCGTAGGACTCATTGCATAGATGAGCTCTCCTGATTGCCTGTTACAAAAACAGGTAAAATTCAAAATTACTCTTCTTTGTCTGTTAAACCTTGGCCTTTACACAAAGGAGAGGAAATGAATGTGACATTTTTCCTCATTTCCTTTACATTAACCATGGAGCCATAGGAGCTTCAGCTGTTTTTAAGGCATTTGTGACACAAAAAGATTTGTTTTAGCTGGTTGCTTTTGCCAAAGCTGGCTTCAACATGAATTGCTCCAACACTTAAAATTATCAGGCTGAGAGGATAAAGATCTGTACTCAATTACATACAGTTGTTGCTCGACAAACTTGTTCTTCAAATCTTTGCTTTAAAACTAGTTGTCATTAATACTGCTATGTCCACAGTTTTTGTTAAGCATACCAGGAACTGCAAGTCCACATTTAAAATAAAGTCTTATCAAAATGTTTCAAAGTAATGATTGCAGCATTAATTCCTTTCAATTTAAAATTTCAGTTTGGAAAGCTTGTAAATACTAGCTAGGAAACACTGCTGAAAATGAGTCGTGTTGGAACACTGCTGAGTGTTTGCAGTTCTAAAAACAATTTCAGTATTATTTTCTCAGTTCCAAAGATGTTATTCTCCTTGCAATCTGTGGCTGACACTGCAGACCTAGAACAGTTTTGCAATAAGATGTTTTCTGCAGATTAACATCTTATTTCCTTTTTAATCTCTTTGGATGAGGAGAATTCATTCATATATACTTTTATACTGAACAGAGAGTATTCTCAGGAGACAGGATTTAGCACGGGGCCCTTCAAAATTCATTTTTTTCAGGCAGGTTGATTTTTATGGAGTCAGGCTAGCAAATAATGGCTTTTAGTGAGAGGGTATTTTTCAGAAGTGTTCAGCACCTACCATTACCCAGGGAGGTGCCTGTGTAATTGACTTGGTATTAGAAAGAGAAGAATGAAAACAGTGACAAGCTCCTTGTCTTTGGAAATGTAGTTCAACAGAGGTGCCACAACTCAGTGCCTATATGCACAAAGGTGCAAACTGCAGAGCTTGAAACTTGATTTGACTTCTTTTTTTACCCTACCCACCTACAGGGCATCTGGTGCAAGTGCATGACTTGTTTTTAAATTAAATGTTAGCATTTCCAGTTCAAGGTTAATTGACATCCAGTCCAAGGCACACTATACAACTTTTTTCCGGTTTAATTTCTTATGGCTTCGTGTTGTGGATGGCAGGAACACTGGCCAAGTGAGCTCCCTCTGTTTATATGTCTTGTCATTAGTTTAATGAGAAGCTATTGCAGTGACTCATTCGCTCTTTTGCTCTAAGGCTCTTGCCTTTAAAAACCTGACCAAAAAAAAAAAAAAAAAGGGATCTAATAAAAGCAAAATTGAACTTCTCCTTTATTTTTCTCCATGCTCATGATCTGGAGTGAGAGCAGGTTCTGAATGTCAGTGCTCCTACTGAAGTGCCAGATGCCCAGCAACACACCTGAGAAAGGGATGCCCATCTCTGGGAAGTTGTTTCGCCTTAGGGGTGTTTCTCTGGAGGACAGCTCGTTAGACATGATGACCTGTGAGCAAGATATCACGACTTGTCTCCATGTATTTTTCTGGTTTTAATAATGGACCTTGTTTGTCAGGCTGCCTGGCACATGTGGCTTCACAGACAGGCATTTTGGTCCAGCTGTATTCTCCTTCCTGAGTGAGCCAGCACCAGCCTATGTGCTGTTTATTGAAAGGCAACCCAAAAACTGCAGTTCCAAGTGACATCTCTGTTCCATCAACACCACCACATGATAGCTAAGCCAGTCAGAAGCCCATAATGTTCTAAATAGTAACCTGAGTGAAGGAAAAGCAAACTCACCCAGTCCAGAACAAGGGTGTCTTTGATCCCACAAGCAGATACATGAAAGTCCTCATTTTTACAGAAAAATTATTTAGATATCTTAAAAAATTTATTTATTTTTTATAAGATTCCATTCAGTGCTTCAAATGAGATTTAAGGAAACAGACTGGCATTTATGGAAATAAGTTTGGGGGAGACATAGGAAATGTGTCTCAGTGTGTCTGTCCTCTTCACTCTGTGACCACACAAGTGGCAATAAACCTCTTTGAAGCACTAAGATGACGTGTCAGCAGTGGCAAGCCAAGTCCTATGACAATTTCCAGCTGATGATGTGTTGTACATACCTACAGCAGGATTTTGATTTAAATAAATGCATTACTTAGGTGAATATGAGATTATTTCACAAGTAAGAATGCAAATATTCCAGCCAGTACTGGAGTTGCCTTCCCACTCTCCTTTCCTTTGTGGCAAACAGTTTTTCTGACAAGAGCATTTTCTGAAACAATTTCTTTGCCCCTGCAAAAGGTATCAGCAAAAACTCATTTATCTTGTTTTCTTGTTCTCACTTTTTTAATATGCGTCTCCTCCTTGTCATTGCTTTGGTCTTTTGTTTTCACTTTCTTCTTCCAAAGCAGCAAACATCAATGTGAAGGATGCAAGGTGGGACTGAACAGCAGGTACCGGGGCTCTGAAACACCAGCCATCCTTTCTGGAGGCTATTTTCCCAATATCTCTCTGTGAGCTGAAGATATACATACCTCTTCTTTCTTCAGGTACACTGCTGGCAAATATTTCAAACAGACCATAACCTTCAAATCCTTTTGTTTTAAAATTTTAAAAGTTATTTCATGGGCCACTTGATTAAAAAATACTTTTAGTTGATTGGATTTTAATGATAGAAAAGGGCATTAGGAAGTTTGTGCCTAGGGGTGCTATAGAAAAATAAATGACTGGTATAAGCTATATTTTCCCTCTACTTAGAGCTCTTGATGGGTGAGTAGTGTAAACACAGTGGGAAACGCAAAGACTTCAGGAGCCCAATATGAATTCAACATTAATACTAACATTACCATCCTCCAGCCCTGAAACACACTAAGCAAGGTACGAAAAGGTCTGAATGACACCAAGTGTCATTGACATAGCATTTATACTATTTCTGGAGAGGAGAATTGCAGCAAATCTTGCTAAAGATACCCTCGAATGGCTGCTCCACAGCCCTCAGTACTGCCATGTCTCATTATGGACTTTGTGGTTAGGTTCTTTTTTCCTTTGAACTGAAGATTGACGAGAGGGAGGCAGTTTTATTAGGTCTTGGTTGTTTATTCTTTTATCAGCATTACAAGGTACAAGGGGTTATGTGCACTATGATAGAAAGGTGTAAAATGGCTAACAAAGATCCTCTTCAAGGTCTTTTATATGTCCATTTACCCAATTAACAGATGCTAACTAAATTATTTTTCTTAGTGACCCAATGACCCAACACCTGTGCACTGCACTGCTGTATTCTCTATCCAATCACTTACTACTGCCCAAAAACCTCTAGGAGAAGAAGATAAGGAAGAAAGAAGAAGGGACAAGACCTAAGTCCTCCATCTTGTCTTTTGCTCTCTAAACTACTTTAAACTCCAAACTTTAACTTATTCTCCCAGTGACTTAAGAAACTTTCTAATCTACACACTTACATTTTCAGCTTTTTCCATCTAACTTTAACATTTGTTCTCATGTATCACCATGAAATCATGCTCATTAATTTCATGTTATATGAAATTCTGTGTTTTTATGGATCTTAAAACTAAGTATTAGAAACAAGGGCTCACATTCTGTATCTCAGACTCCAGCACTGCCACATTTTGGACTCTTTTCTCAGAAAGCCCTCTTGCAGATCGCAGAACTCAGACAGAACAATCTGGTATTGATTTTCGAGAAGAAGAAATTGTTGGATGATGGTGACCAGGAAAGGGCAGGTTTCTGGTGGCTTTTGGTACATTCCTTTGTATCCTCTATATTTGGTCCTGAAGAGTGGCACAGCTCTCCAGTGGCACTTATAATGTGTTCCAGATCCCTATGAGTGTTCTGGACACCCTGAGGTATCTCTTTTTTTGTGTTGAAATTACTAAGCAGAAGTTTACCTTCAAAGAGGTCTTTTTCTCCTTTCTTGTATATGAAATACAGTACACGACTATATTAACATAAATTAGCAGAAGGTTGCAGTTTTGCTACCTAGTCCCTTTCTTGTTGTTGAAGAAATAGTCTTAAAGTCTGTTCTGGTCTTTTTTTAGGTGCTAAAATAAACTAATAGTGATGGAGCACAGGAACTACCACTGCAGCACTCACAAGAGCATGTCACAGCCTGGCCTAAACTTTGTCTTCTACCTACTCCAGCAAGATAAACAAGGAGCACCACATCTTGCTCCAGGCTGTCACCACACTCTTCATTGGCCTCTGTGTTGCTATGAATAAAATTATTACTTTAAGGTTATCAAAAGCCTTCCTCTGCTCATTTTTACCTCTTCCTACTGAAAAGATCATTTCATACTGAAACGAACAACTCTTTTGTGTTGGCACTGTTGTACATCAGGAGACCCAAACTTCAGAGGTGCTCAAATCACAGACCTCTGCTGAATTTAACATCAAAAACTGAATGGAAGCAACCATCTCTAAGAAGAGATTCTGGCTCAAGCTGCCTTTGACTGCTGCCCCAGACACTGAGCACACCTGTGTTAGGGGATGCCATCTGCTCCTAGCTTAGGACTTTGGTGTGTACCCAAAATACCAGGAGTTTTTTAAGTAAAATTTTTGAGTAAATACCTCCATTATAAATTTCCTTCACAGCAGGAAAGGCAGAAGGCCTCAGAAGGGAGGGTTTATGTATCTATCTTAGACATACATTTGGAGGGTCACCAAAACATTGTGCCTGACTTTCCTCTACGCAAACAACACTGGGTCTTGCTGTAAATGTACTCCACTGCACAGATGACTTTTAGTGACAGTTTAAGTGCCTAAATTTTCCAGTGATCCTTAAAATTATGCACTAAAACTTCCCTACCTCTGTTTTGGGTGAAGTTTCCCAACAATATGCAGGAGTCTGAAGGATTGTATGCAGTTTTTCTGAATCTGAGACCTATATCTTCAAACAGTCTAAATGTCTGTTAGAAAAAAACAGCAGTGATTTTTTGTGATGCTCATGTTCCTGCACACACCAGCATCAACACCTGGCTTTGGAGTCTGAGCTCACACCTTGCTTCTGCTATATAAAAAATAGTATGCTAAAATATCAATCAAATTCTACAACAACAGAACTATCTATAAGCAGGCTGCAACCTTCTAAGATTCCAGCGAGTAGAGGATAATTGCAGGACTTCAGCTGATACTAGGTTAAAAAGCAGATTTCTTCATTATTTTCAAGTCCTCTGTTCTGCATATTGAGCTCTTCACCTGGGAGATTTTGTATTCCTTTTGAAAATATAAAATAATTAAACTTGTCGGTTTCTATTTGATTTCTTTGCAAAATTTTAGGCACTTGTCTTTTTTATAATTTTTAATCCCAAAAAATAACAGTAATCAGTCATTTGTAGTGTAGTGCTATGTAAGAAATGTTGTCATGTTGTTACCCACTACTACACCAGTGCAGCATTTCATTAGATTGACATAGCATATCATGTTGAAAATTATATAAAAATGATAATGGCAACTCTTGATTTCTTAGAAATCTCTGAATCTGAAGAGACCCTGGAGAACAGTACAGATCCTTTCATAATTATATCAAGTTGGATCAAGCGCAATTTCTGGCATTAGAAATGAGTTATTTGTATTAACACCAGTTAGAACAAAATTTGGCTAGCTATCCAACAGGGAGAAAGTCTGCTGTGTTCCTGCAGTTATTTGTTTATTTCCATTTATTGCTACATTTACAGTAGCATAACTACCAGAAAAATGGGCAAAGGCTCTAGGTCTGCAAGCAAACCACTGATCATCAGTTTTAGTGAGATACCCCAGTCACATGGGATGCTGTCAGGAGCAGCGGGCAGCAGGGGCACCTGAACTCCAAATTCCTCCCTTCAGTGCAAAACACCTACTTGAGGGTACTCTATCCCACACTTTGATGCTGTCAGCAATGAATTGCAGGCATCTCCAAGAGTATTTTTGTCTTTAGGAGGAAATCAATCACTCTGGGAACATATCTTCCATATTCACTGTCTGCAGGGCGATTAGGAGAAATGTGCTTCAGATCCTAGAGTTTGATGCAATAGAGCTGAGATTACATTGTTTTCCCTACTTTCAATGTTTTAACTAAATAACTTGTGGCATCAGTATGTTACACTGTGCTAAAAATGTATGTAGTCCATAAAAATTAATCTCTTTAAGCAGTAGTGAAATTTTTAAGTTTTCTTATATACAAGAAAAAAACAGTGCTTCTAATTTTAAACTATTGAACATGGAAGATTAAGGCACAAAAAAAATCAAGCAGAAAGAACAGCATGAAAGTAGCAGTGAGAGAAATCTGTGCAGTATTTTTCCACAATAGTCTCCAATGTTTTGGGAACAAAATAACAGCTGTCTTTGCATCTCCACGTGCTCATCTTAAACAGAGCAACTGAAGATGTAGAGAAAGGGAGATTCCATGGGTCACAGTTGCTAGATTTTGGCTACCCAGAAGCAGGGAGACTTGAGGGAAAAGTTGAAATGGGAGGACGAAAGTTTCAGTGTGCCAAGAATTTTGTGTATGTGTGTGTGTGTATATATATATACATATTTTAGAAAACAACTCTGAAATGGAGAAATGCCAACTGTCATTAAATTTAGTATACCAGAGGCACAAAAGAACATAGGAAAATGGTATATGTCTAATCTGGGTGCTAATTAAACTCATATTTTCTTAGTTATTGCCCAGACTTTCTAATTTTTAAAGGTCGTGTGACGTTTAGACATCTCTTTTTGGGCATGAGCAGAATACTCCTCAAGATAGTGCTAAGAAGCTACAGTTGTGTCTCTGATAAGGACACACACACATTCCTACCCATATTCCACCTTCCACCTGGACTTAAATCAGGTGGTATCTTCAGAGTGCAGCCATGAAGAGTGCAGCAGCCTCTTTGATGTGCACATGGAGATGGAAAGACAGCTGTTATTTTGCTCTAGAAGAAGCCAGACTTCTCTTTCTCACTTCCTGCTAATGTATCTGATTATCTCTTGGTCAATACAGCTTCTGAGGCTGTGCTGGTCTTGGGCTCATTTTCCTTCTTTCCACCTGACATCATCTGAACCTGGCTCCAGATATGAGGCTGTATTTGGTGAGCGCTGCTTGGCCCTCCCATATGTGCTCAGGATGATTATGCCTCGTTTCTGGGCTGGGCAGGGGGAGGAAAGGAAAGAAAGTCCTTTAGGGCCACCATGCCCTAAAGACTGCTGGTTTGGTGGGGGTTCAGCTTGGAACTTCAGCACTTTAAATAATGATACTTTGAAACTCATTCTTGTGCTTTCTGAAGCTGTGAATTCAACTTTAAAAAAAAAACAAAACAAAAAAAACCCCCGAAACAACAACAACAAAAGAGACACACTCCTCTTTCCAGCAGGAACATTAGCACATCAACAACAACAACAAAAGAGACACACTCCTCTTTCCAGCAGGAACATTAGCACATCTGATACTGAGAGGCAACAGTGAAATTACTGCCATAGCACCTCTTAGCAGCTTAGATGTCCTCTCTGCATGGCTCCAGTGCACCACACAGGCATCCCATAACCCTCATCCAGGATGTGTAGATACCACTAGGCAGCCTACCTCAACACTTGCCAAGGGAAATCTCAGAGCTGTAATGCTCAGTGTCTTTTAAAGAGATAACTTTTACTGGTAACAAGCTTTTACTTCCCTTTTATTGAAAGGGATAGACTTACATTTCCCTACCAGTTATTAGATAGCTGATAATGAAAATAGCATAAGATAGAGTGAGGTTTAGAGACATCAGAGGAAGACCATAGGATAATATAACTATATTTTCTTTGCATAATACTTTGCTGTACCAATGAAGAATACTAATTAAGGCAGAGGAACCACACCCAGCTCCGGGTAGGATTTCATTCCATGCTTCACTGGAGAGCCCAGGACAACAGCAGCGTCATTGCACATCCTACCACAGCACTGTTTTTCCTTTTTACTCTATAGATGTGTATGCATTCAATACTTGTTTTTATTGCCATTCTTTCCACTACCTTTTAACTATTCTACATTACAGTGTCATTACTCTTATTGTTCAATTCCCTTCCTCTATTTTCCTACTTCTTTTGCCTGGGCAGGCAGGAGGAATAGGAACATTTAAAACCAGACACACTGGAGAACTTCCCCATCACTGAGTACTTCATGTGGATTGCTGCATGGAGGAAGCTGTATGCAGTAAAAGTGATTTTAGTGCTCCCACCAAAGATGGAGCAAGCCCATGGATTCTTAAATGCTTAAATGCCTATTAAGTGATTATTTGCCTGTGTATTGATGTTGAGTGCTCTAGGAGCAAAAATCTTATGTACTGCCAAAGAACATTCAAACTAACTTAATTTTACAACCAGTCAGTTTTACTATTTATTTTGTGTCTTGTAGATTACATTTAAGGTACTCAATGCTAATAAAATTGTGCCTTATTAAAAAAACCAACCAAACAGCCCTACAGAAAAATCAAACCATGAACCAGTCTAGTACAAAAATATAATCTGCCAAGAGTACCTTTTGTTATCACCTGAATTCTTTAAAAAACACAGTAGGTTGAATTGGAGATGTTGCTCTGCCCCAGTTCTTCCCTTTTATATATTGATCTTGGTTTGGAGGAAGCAGGCAAGTAAAGTAAAGAAAAGTAACTTGTCCTCAGCAACAGAGGAGCAAGGACTCCACATTGTTGTTTGCACCCAAAAATGTCTGGCCACCCACAGTAACTCTGCTTAGGCTGAAGCCAAAGCGGGTGTTTCAGACAAAAACCTCCTTGTCAGCTTCTAAGTAAGACAAGTCCCCTGGCAAATCTTCATGTGCCTCAAAGGTTCAGCCCTCTTTTGGTCACTGAGTGACAGAATTATCCTCTAACTGGCTGCCAAGAGGGTGCATAAGAAATAGGTCAGATGTCTCACTCTCTGGAGATGCCTTCTCTTTCACAGAGTGGAAGGGCAGGCTATTTGGTCAAAAGCAAGGATTTCACATCCCTGTCTGCAAGTTAACCCTGGTTAAAGCCGGTCCCTCCAGTCTCAGGGACTGTGCTGTCATTAGTGCAGCTTCACCAGTGCAAATGTCAGCCATGTCCCTGCTGAATGGCAGAGATCCGAGTGACAGCCAGCCCTACCTTCCTGCACCCTCGTTTCCCTGGAAAGGGAACTGGGATACGCATCCTAGGCAGAAGTTGCAGTGTGGTGCAACTGCCCCTGCAATCCCTCCAGGTCCCATCTCTAGATGCCTGGATGCCACTCCCAAGTGGCTTTTGTTTGGTATTTCCAGATCTG